TTGTGTTCACCCTGAGCAGTTCGGACATTGAGGACATCACTTAGAGAGGCCCCTTGGAGCTAGCGATCATGTGGTGCTGAGTTTTGACTATATAGTAGAGTTACAAGTGGAGAAGGTAACAGGAACTGAAGGGGACAGGCCAAACTTAAAAGGGGGGACTACACAGGTATGAGAAACTTCCTGCGGAGGTTCAGTGGGACAGAGAAATGGTAGGAAAATCATTTAAACGAGATGATGGAATATGTGGCAACAAAGTGCAAGGGGGCAGAGGAAGTTTTGTTCCCAAGGGAAACAGAAATAATATGAAGACCAAAACGAGTCCTTGGTTTACCCGAAGGTGTAGGGAGGCAAAAACTAAGTGCAACAGAGAATGGAAAAGGTACAGGAGGGATAGGACCCAGAAAACAAGGAGATTAGTAGAAGGCCAGAAACGGGGTATGCACAGATAAGGAGGGAGGCCCAGCGACAGTATGAAAACGACATAGCATCGAAGTCAAATCTGACCCGAAACTGTTGTATAGCCACATTAGGAGGAAGACAACAGTCAAGGACAAAGGGGATAAGGGGTTGAGGGAAAGAAGGTGGAAACTCACAAGAAACGACCAAGAGGTATGTGAGGAGCTCAACACGAGATTTAAGGAAGTATTTCAGTAGAAGACAGGAAGGACTCTGGGGGACAAAAACAGATGGGGGCACCAGCAAGGAATACACCAACAAGTGTTGGACGACAACATACAGATGAGGAGGTGAAGAAACTGCTAAGGGACATCGATACCTCAAAGGCAAAGGGACCGGACATCTCCCCGTGGGTCCTTAGAGAGGGAGCAGATACGTTGTGCGTGCCACTTGCCCCAATCTTCAAAAACATCCCTGGAAACTGGGCAACTACCTGAGGTATGGAAGACGGCAAATGTAGTTCCCTTTTTAAAAAGGAGACAGAAAAGAGGCACTAAACTATAGACCTGTGTCATTGCGGTTAGTAAAGCAAAATTATGGAGAAGATTGTCAGGAGGAGAGTGGGGGAGCACCTGGAACAGAACAGGAGTATAAAAAGCCCAAACCCGCACGGATTCCGGAAAGGGAAATCCTGTGTCACAAACCTTCTGGAGTTTTACGATAAAATAACAGAAGTAAGACAAGAGAGAGGGGTGGGTTGATTGCATCTTCTTGGACTGCAAGAAGGCCTTTGACACAGTTCCTCACAAGAGATTATGCAGAAGCTAGAGCATCAGGCGCATATAACAGGAAGGGCACTGCAATGGATCAGAGAATACCTGACAGGGAGGCAACAACGAGTCATGGTACGTAATGATGTATCACAGTGGGCACCTGTTTACGAGCGGGGTCCCACAGGGGGTCGGTCCTAGGACAGTGCTTTTTGGTATATGTGAACGACATGACGGAAGGGTTGGATTCAGAAGTGTTCCCCGTTTGCAGATGATGTGAAGTTAATGAGGAGAATTAAATCTGATGAAGACCAGGCAGGGCTTCAAAGAGACCTGGACAGACTGGAACCTGGTCCAGCAAATGGCTTCTCGAATTTAATCCGGCCAAATGCAAAGCATGAAGATAGGGGAAGGGCACAGAAGACCACAGACAGAGTATAGGCTAGGTGGCCAAAGACTGCAAACCTCACTCAAGGAGAAAGATCTTGGGGTGAGTATAACACCGAGCATGTCTCCGGAAGCACACCCTCATCAGATAACTGCTGCAGCATATGGGCGCTGGGAAACCTGAGAACAGCATTCCCATACTTAGTAAGGAATCATTCAAGACACTGTACACCGTGTATGTCAGGCCCATACTGGAGTATGCAGCACCTGTTTGGAACCCGCACTTGATAAAGCACGTCAAGAAACTAGAGAAAGTACAAAGGTTTGCGACAAGGTTAGTTCCAGAGCTAAGGGGAATGTCCTATGAAGAAAGATTAAGGGAAAATCGGCCCTGACGACACTGGAGGACAGGAGGGTCAGGGGAGACATGATAACGACATATAAAATACTGCGTGGAATAGACAAGGTGGACAAAGACAGGATGTTCCAGGGAGGGGACACAGAAACAAGAGGCCACAATTGGAAGTTGAAGACACAAATGAGTCAGAGAGATAGTAGGAAGTATTTCTTCAGTCATAGAGTTGTAAGGCAGTGGAATAGCCTAGAAAATGACGTAGTGGAGGCAGGAACCATACACAGTTTTAAGACGAGGTTTGATAAAGCTCATGGAGCGGGGAGAGAGAGGGCCCAGTAGCAACCGGTGAAGAGGCGGGGCCAGGAGCTAGGACTCGACCCCTGCAACCACAAATAGGTGAGTACAAATAGGTGAGTACATGTACAAGACTGGAAACATGCCTGTCACATGTACAAGACTGGAGACATGCCTGTCACATGTACAAGACTGGAGACATGCCTGTTACATGTACAAGACTGGAGACATGACAGGCCTGTCACATGTATAAGATTCTTCTAATGCAAGTGTCATCATGTTGTGTTGGGGTATACCTGCAGTATACCTTGAGTGTGTTTCGGGGTACGCCTGCTTCTAGACTATATATTCATTGATTTGCAAGAAAGAGCAACTGAGCTGTCACATACATGGTGTTCAGAAAACACATTTCGACAATCACACCACTGTAAGATGTACTGCAGTAGATCTATTGGCTCATGTTACGTAGAAAATGCTCTGTGTAGGAGATTACAACACATTCCAACCCACATACTAAATTCAGCTGATGTATACAACTCTTAGCCACGCTAGCCACTGCAACCTACACTTAACCCTTAAACTGTCCAAACGTAGATCTACTTTTTTTCAACATTTGAAAGTATGTAAAAAAAAAGTAGATTTTTTTTTTACATTTGTAAACGTATAAAAAAACTTTAATCTACTTTTTTTTGTTATATTTGAAAATATGTAAAAAAAAAAAAGATCTACTTTTGGAGCACTACGAATGTGAACGTAAATCTGTTTGGACAGTTTAAGGGTTAATACTCCAACCGATGCATACTAATTCTACACTCATAATGCTTTAAACCTCCAATCTCACTCATACCCACACCTACCAATCCCATTCATACCCACACCTACCAATCTCACCTTAACTTACATCCATCGTTCCCTGTCACTGGTTAATTTTAGAGCAAACTAAGACAGAAACAGAACTTTTATTTATATAGGTACACGTCGTCTTATTCGCGTGTAGTGAACTTTCTCAAGTGAAGCTAGGAAATCAGGGCAACAGAAAGTAACATTTCACTTGTGTATATACCATCCCATGTAAAGGCTGCGAGAAAGTATTTGTAGGGATAACTGGGAGTGACTCGAAGATACTCTTAACGAATACAAGTATGCCTGCCACATAAACAGCGAAAATGATGCTTGTGTGGTCTACCTGGAGGGTGTTCCTGGGGTCAACGCCACCGCGGCCCAGTCCCTGACCAGAGGAACACTGCATCACATCTTAAGAACTAGGAATGAACTGAATTCAACTTCAATGAGGAGAGCCACACCAGCAGAAACTGATGAAGATCAGCTTTGATTGTAAATATCGACTGTTTTTCAGAACAGGGCCTTACCCATCGCCCACATCGTACTCAAGAATAAGAATACACATCTGGTAAATAATCTTGTACAGATCAAGCCTCCTATAAACATTCCCGGAAATGAGAACACTATAGTTGGTCTACGAACTCTTCCTCACTAGAATTCAACAGTCACTTCTCCACCTTCACCTAACGGAAACCTTCCTACCAACTATGAGCATGTATTTCATGTCCTAGATACACCTGAGAAAGTTCATTACATGTGAACAAAATGTGGTGAACAGTTCGCAGATCACAGGTACATATGAAACGTCGGTTACCTAGGTAAAATATCTTCCGTACATGAATGGTATACAATACCGACAAGTTGAAAATTAAACAAATGTCCAACATCTGGGTATCTTTATTATAGGCGTTTCGCCATCCAGTGGCTTTATCAATACAAATTCAATGACATAACTGGAAGATAAGAACTATATACAAAAAATGAGGTAATCAAGTTAATCTCCAGGGTTTATTACCTGGACCTCAGCAATGAGGTAATCAGTCCCTCAGCCTTGGAATTGGAGCTCTTCACACAAATTCTAAAACCGAGGGACTGATTACCTCATCTTTTGTATATAGTTCTTATCTTCCAGTTATGTCACTGAATCTGTAGTGATAAACCCAATGGATGGCGAAACGTCTTCAATAAAGATACCCAGATGTTGAACATGTGTCTAATTTTCTTCAGAATATCTTCTGTTTTCTTGAACCTTTTTACCACTACCAAGATTCTTGTTCTCATCCTCAATACCTAGCACTTCATCACATCACTTTAGGATATCAACAGTACTGTACAACTAGTCTCTCCCAGAAACCAACTCCTAACTGTTACGTAGTTACTTTTCAATATTTATTTAGGTTTAATTTTGTTTACTCATAACTCCCTTCACTCAGCACGGTATTATCGTATAAATTTTGTATTCTCTATATATTTAAATATTTACTAATTTGTTTTCTGATCAGGCTGGTGTTTACCAGTAATTGTATTCTCTATATATACATAACATTTCTCTTGAGATTCCTATTATTATTGTTTATCTATAAGTAAAGTGGTCTGTGTCACACTCACATTATAATAGTTCACTGTCACTATGCTTTTCTGAATCCTAACAGACTTAGAATTTCGAAAGAGATTGTCATCACCTAAAGTAAACTAAAGATGCCTACAACCTGTTGGACAAACAACGGTGCCATGAGTGTGTGATCTGCTGTAAGTGATGTCATTTAAAACTAATTAAAGGTTTTCATTAAGAGTGGAGAGTGAATTCATTAAATAATTGTTCAGACTTAAAAATTAAATATTTCATATCTACTTTACTTACTGTGTAAAATAATTACCTCTACAAAAGGTCATCCCAAGTTCTAAACACACATTAATATGTTTATGTTTAGGCTATAATATAAAATAAAGGCATCGTTTCTGTACTTTCTCCCCGATCATTTATTCTGTTGAAGATTATCACTGAACTAATGTTTTCTTTTTTACACTAAGGCAGAGTGGAAGACAGCTGAGGATCAAGTTGAATATTCAATTTGCAAAACTTAAAAACGAATGCAAGATGCGTACTCAGTAATTATTTTTTTTTACCGCACCGGCCGTGTTCCGCCAAGGCAGTTAGTAATGTATCCGTGGAGAAGGGGTTATTAGCCCCTTGCTCCCAGCATTTTAATCGCCTCTTACCATAAACATGGCTTACAGTGGAACGATTCTTCTCCAAGGGAGGTTCATGGGGACTAATTAAAAAGACAATTGAAGAAGGAGTAACTCACCTTTTCTCTGAGGAGTTCCCTGATCTTGCCGGCCTGATCCCGGAACCTCTGCAGGGAGAGCTCTAGCTCTAGGCATCTTTCTTGCCAGTTGACCACTTCGTCCCCGCCCCATACCATGGGTCCGGGACCCAGACCATCGTCGTCGTCAGTAAGGAGGTCTGCCACACCATCCACCTCCCCTGCCAACTCCGACAGGACGGAGGGCAGGGAGGAGCGGTGACCTGAGGAAGCGAGGGAGTCAGTCATAGTGGAGAGTTGGGAGTATCTTGCTGACACATTGTGAGAGTTGAGACACGAGCCAGGGGAGCCCGGGGTAGGTGTCACGTCGCCGTTGTTGCCAACGCCGTATGAATCCTCGTCATCTTCGTCATCCAGGCGACCTGAACTAAAGCGGCCAGAGCCGCCACTGAGGGTGGAGAGGCGAGCCATGTCGAGGGCCACCTCGGCCGAGAACCTGGGGTCTAAGTGGCAGCCAGAACCCAGGGTGGAATAGAGGGAAGGCTGACGACCACCCGGAAAATGCGGATTTGCTCCCTGGGGCGTCGGATCCCCAGGAGTTCCTGGGGAAGGTGGGCAGTAGGACGCACGAGGAGCTGGCTCTGGTGGAGGGTCATGACCCGGGTCATCTTCCTCGCCAAACTCATTAGGAGTTACCGCAGCCTCTTCCGTCCACGCGTCGACGTTGAACAGCTGCGACAGTCGCCTTTCCGAGAAAAAGAACCTCGAATCTGAGAGTCTATGGGCTGCAAGGGTCATTTCGTGGGTGTAAGGATTGGACTGAATGACATGCGAGTAAGGGCGCGGGTAACCCCCTCCCTGGTTAGTGGGATCGTCGCCTTCTGCCATAGTGGATGTCCTGCGTACGCTCTGTAACTTCTTGCAAGAGATGTTTACCCGAAAAAAGTAAAGTGGTTTTCTTACTCAGTGCACTTCCACGTCCATTCCATCACATATAACAACACAGCACAACCAGAGCCTCTCTTGCACCACACACTGTGTTATCCCCTTGGTCGGTCCTCACTAGTATTCAGCAGTGCGCCTCAACCCCCGCACTCTCACACTTGGCACAGAGGGAGATGGCTCACTCCTGTAGTCGCAGGCAGAGCCTTTGTAGTGGAGCTCACGCCCCTAGCTAGCTCCACACGCCCCACGAGCGGCCTGTGGAGCCCAGATCGACCTGCCTCCACCACGTCTCCGCCACCTGCAAGAGAGAAACAAAAACAAATTGTAACTCGATAATAATACTTGTCATAGACTTAACACGCTATGAAGTCAACAAGCACATATCACTTTGAAAATACAGGGACACTCTGATAATACAATGCAGTTTGGGAATTGCGTTATGGAATGAGCAAGAGTGAAGGAAGACAAGGCCACTGCAAATCCTTTAAATTATTATTACTAATAAAAAAGAAGCGCTAAACTACAGGGCTATTACAGCCTCTAGCAATTCTTCCCTGTTTCGATACGTTGTTTGTATACTGTTGTTAGGGGTACACACAGGCGCCCTCTGCTCCCTCTATCTGGACCCATGGGGAGTGGTTATCCCTCCACTGCCTTGAGGTATCTAGCTCACTCAGAAGCCTCTTCACTTCTTCCTTGGTTGTGTGTTACTGTGTCCCAGCATGGTGGTGGTACCCCGACACTCCGTCTTCTGGAAGCCCCTTCTGTCTCCTCTGTGAATAAACACTTCTTTGAATCTCTTGAGTTCCTCACTACTTCACGGTCATTTCTTGTTGACTTCCTCCTTCCTTCCTTAGCCTAATACTTGGTCCTTGACTGTTGTTTTCCTCCTGAATGTGGCTGTATAAACAGCGTCCTTCGGCGTCAGATTTGGCTTTTTGCCCTATGTCGTTTTCATATTGTCGTTGAGGCCTCCCTTCTTATACTGTGATATTCATTTTCTGGCTCTAAGACGCTCTCCTTATTCTCTGGAGTCTTTGCCTTCTTTATTTCTTCCATTCCTAGCACACTTGGTTTTTGCCTCCATGCCACCTTTGGTGTGAATCATGGGCTCATCCTGGCTTTTTCATTATTCCTGTTACCCTTGGGTACAAACCTCTCCTCAGCCTCCTTGCACATTGTTGTTACATATTCCATTATCTCATTAACTGGTTTCCCTGCCAGTTCTCTGTCCCACTGAACCTCGTTCACGAAGTTCCTCATTCCCGTGTAGTCCCCTTTCTTGTAGTTTGGCTTCATTCACCCTGGCCTTCCTGCTTCCTCCTCCACTTGTAGCTCTACTGTGTATTCGAAGCTTAAAACCCCAAGGGGTCTTTCATATGTGATGTCCTCAATATCTGAATTACTCAAGGTGAATACTAGGTCCAGTCTTGCTGGTTTATCCTCTCCTCTCTCTCTCGTAGTGTCCCTTACGTGTTGGTACATGAAGTTTTCCAGTACAACCTCCATCATCTTAGCCCTCCATGTATCTTGGCCCCCATGTGGCTCCAAGTTCTCCCAATCAATTTCCTTGTGGTTAAAGTCACCCATGATCAGGAGCTTTGCCCTGCATGCTTGAGCCCTTCTGACCACTGCAGCCAGTGTGTCAACCAACGCTCTACTGCTCTCATCACGCTCTTGCCTTGGCCTCCTGCTGTTCTGTGGTGGGTTATACATCACTGCAATTACCACTTTGGGATCTCCAGACTGAAGCGTTCCCGCTATGTAATCGCTTGCTTCTCCGCTGTCTCCTCTCTCCTCTCTCGTCAAAATTCCATCGGTTTTTGAGCAGCAGTGCCACTCCTCCACTCCCCTGTTCCCTCTGTCTTTCCTCAGGAACTGGTATCCCGTGTAGGTAGGTAGGTAGGTAGGTAGGTAGGTGTGTGTGTACACTCACCTAGTTGAGGTTGCAGGGGTCGAGTCAAGCTCCTGGCCCCACCTCTTCACTGGTCGCTACTAGGTCACTCCCCCTGAACCGTGAGCTTTATCATACCTCTGCTTAAAGCTATGTATGGATCCTGCCTCCTGACTACTCTGTGGCCGAAGAAATACTTCCTAACATCCCTGTGATTCATCTGTCTTCAACTTCCAACTGCGTCCCCTTGTTGCTGTGTCCCATCTCTGGAACATCCTGTCTTTGTTCACCTTGTCAATTCCTCTCAGTATTTTGTATGTCGTTATCATGTCCCCCCTATCTCTCCTGTCCTCCAGTGTCGTCAGGTTGATTTCCCTTAACCTCTCCTCATAGGACATACCTCTAGCTCTGGAACTAGTCTTGTTGCAAACCTTTGCACTTTCTCTAGTTTCTTTACGTGCTTGGCCAGGTGTGGGTTCCAAACTGGTGTCGCATACTCCAATATGGGCCTAACGTACACGATGTACAGGGTCCTGAACGATTCCTTATTAAGATGTCGGAATGCCAGGCGCCCATATGCTGCAGCAGTTATTTGGTTGATGTGCGCTTCAGGAGATGTGCCTGGTGTTATACTCAACCCAAGATCTTTTTCCTTGAGTGAGGTTTGTAGTCTCTGGTCCCCTAGACTGTACTCCGTCTGCGGTCTTCTTTGCCCATCCCCAATCTTCATGACTTTGCACTTGGTGGGGTTGAACTCCGACAGCCAATTGCTGGACCAGGTCTGCAGCCTGTCCAGATCCCTTTGTAGTTCTGCCTGGTCTTCGATCGAATGAATTCTTCTCATCAACTTCACGTCATCTGCAAACAGGGACACTTCGGAGTCTATTCCTTCCGTCATGTCGTTCACAAATATCAGAAACAGCACTGGTCCTAGGACTAACCCCTGTGTGACCCCGCTGGTCACAGGTGCCCACTCTGACACCTCGCCACGTACCATGACTCGCTGCTGTCTTCTGACAAGTATTCCCTGATCCATTGTAGTGCCTTCCCTGTTATCGTGCTTGGTCCTCCAGTTTTTGCACTAATCTCTTGTGTGGAACTGTGTCAAACGCCTTCTTGCAGTCATGAAAAATGCAATCCAACCAACCCTCTCTCTCCTCTTGTCTACCTGCTGTCGCCTATGCCATAGAACTTCCAGTAGGGTTTGTTACACAGGATTTCCCATCCCTGAAACCGTGTTGGCCGCTGTTGATGAGATCATTCCTTTCTAGGTGTTCCACACTCTTTCTCCTGATAATTTCTCCATTGAGTTTGCATACTATACATGTCCAGTGACACTGGTCTGTAGTTTAGTGCTTCATGTCTGTCTCCTCTTTTAACAGATTGGGACTACATTTGCTGTCTTCCATGCCTCAGGGAATCTCCCTGTTTCGATAGATGTATTGAATATGTTTTAGGGGTACACCACAGCGCCTCTGCTCCCTCTCTCAGGACCATGGAGAGATGTTATCCCTTTCCATTGCTTAGAGGTAGGTATTAGCTCACTCAGAAGCTCTTCACTTCTTCTTTGGTTGTGCTGTACTGTGTCCGCAAGCACTTGGTGGTGTGCCCCACCTATACGTTTCCTGGAGCCCCTTCGGTTCCTCTGTGAACACTTCTTTAAATCTCTTTGTTGAGTTCCTCAATACTTCCGGTCATTTCTTGTTGTCTCTCCTCTTTCCTTCCTAGCCTGATTACTGGTGTGTGTGTGCGTGCGCGGCCGCGCGCGCGTGTGTGTGTGTGTGTGTGTGTGTGTGTGTGTGTGTGTGTTTGTATGTGTGCGTGCGTGCATGAGCGCTGTGTTATTTAAAAATGAACCAACGTAAGCCCTAATATACTTCGTAAGCTACACAAATGTTGAACATTGTGTAACCCACAACAAACCCCCTTCAATACTTAAGGTTTGATACCCCAAAAAAAGAAAAACAGATAAGCTCACCTGTAGAAAAGTAAACATATACAAAATACGTACAACCTGGTTGCAAAAATACAATACACCAGCAGACTTTCACAAGTTGCTCCAAGTCTGGCCATATTATTACTGAAATGAAAACTAAGTGCTAAACTTGCGAGATTATTATTATGAGAGTCAAAAGGAAGCGCTAAACCTACCAGGGTCATAAAACACACAAAAGTCATAGTGAGGCCATAGGAAAATTATACATTATTAATGGTGTGACTATTAAAATGGTTTACGGTACCGACAGGTTGGTAAGTAACACACATGTTCAACAGTTAGATATCTTTATTCCGAAGATACAATAAAGATACCTAACTGTTGCAAGTGTGTCTTACCGTTATTCATGGCGTCTGTGAGTCGCCATACTTCCTGCCGGTTTTCAGCCTGCTGGTAAAAGTGCTATTGTGTACTCTCCACAACTCACATGAGCCTACAAACAAAATATAGGCCGGGCACCTCCCACGGCCCACATGAGCATAAAACAAAACCCACACACAACTTACGGCCTGAAATATTAAAAAAAAAAAAATCACACTACTTAACTCAACCTTCCTCCAACACAGCCTCCCAGCGACCCTCTCCCTCGAGACGCTATCACAACAGTCACACTGCTACAACAGTCACACTGCTACAACAGTCACACTGCTACAACAGTCACACTGTACAACAGTCACCACTGCTAAATACGTCACATGCTCTACAACAGTCACACTGCTACAACAGCCACACTGCTACTACAGTCACACTTACTACAGTCACACTGCTACAACAGTCACACTGCTACAACAGTCATACTGCTACAACAGTCACACTGCCACAACAGTCACACTGCCACAAAACTCACACTGCCACAACACAGTCACACTGCCTACAAAACAGTCACAACTGGCTACAACAGTCACCTGCTACAACAGTCACACTGCTACAACAGTCACACTGATACAACAGTCACACTGATACAGCAGTCACACTGCTACAACAGTCACACTGCTACAACAGTCACACTGCCACAACAGTCACACTGCTACAACAGTCACACTGCTACAACAGTCACACTGCTACAACAGTCACACTGCTACACAGTCACACTGCACAACAGTCACACTGCTAAAACAGTCACCTTCTAAAAACAGTCAACTGCTAACATAAAACAGTCACAATGCTACAACAGTCACACTTTGCTCCGACAGCCTCACTG